AAAGAGAAAAATAAGAATTGGAGGACAGAAACTGAAGATGGTATAGAAAGCCAAGAGCCTGAAATTTTTATTTGTCTTGAACGATGAAGACAAACTACATGCGGTATGATAGAATTTGGACCCAGATCTAAGAATAACTAAATCCTACACTACACTGCAATCAGAGAAGGTAGTGAACAAGAAATGGCCTTTAAGTAGCTCTGTGAGGCAGGTGACTGGGGGCATTGAGGAGGAGGGCAGGGCAGAAAGCTCCAAGTAGCAAAGTGCTAGGGCATGTAGGGTATGGCCAGAGCAGGCTCCCTAGGGTAGAGCCCAAGCCTGGTATTTTTCTTTTTAAGTGATTCTGCTCTGCAATCCAATGTGAGACCCACAAAAAAAAAAAAACCAGGCTGAAAATCTAGGCTGAGATGCATAGTCTTCCTTTCACAGGTGAGGAAACTGAGGCTCAGGGAGATGAGGTCACCTGAAAGTGGCAAAGTTACAGTGTGACTCCTACCAGTTCCCCTACCCTGGCAGGGCGGAGAAGATACTCTCTCCTCATGGCAGATTTCAGCCCCCTGCAGCAGTCCATGCAGAGAGACCCCTTTCAGCCCTACAACTGCAATTCAGTCCAAGGCCCTAGCCCTGGGCACTGGGCAAGACTGGGATGGAAAGGGACAGCACATTCAGAACCACTGCAGAACAAAAGTGTTTTTCTTTCACTCAAGGACATTTCAGGCAGTGTTCTTTCTGATCCACTCACACCCCATCTGTCTCACCATGGCTTGGGGGATTTGATTTTTTTTTTTTATGAACTATTTCAGGATTAAAAAATATATACAGAAAATAGGAAAATGAGCATGGCTGCTCTATTTTTCAATCAAGATGTATTTAATTTTCGCAGACAGCATAGTGATTACATTTAGGGCTCTGTGTTCAAACCCAGGCTCAGCTGCTTGCTAACTGTACAGTTTAGCCAGTTTCCTCAACTGGTAAAACAGGGCTGATTGTCACACCAGATTCATAGCATTATACTAAGGATCAAATAAGTCAGCAGCTACAAAACACTGAGCACCCAGAAATCTGTAGTATATAGCAGTTTCTGCTGCCATCGTGCCCAGTGGTGCTGTTTATTTATTTTGGTATCTGGATTGGTTGCAGATGGCTCCTGGAAATACTGGGGAGGTTGTGAAACCCAAGACTGAAACTTTCCTCCGTGTTCCCAGAAACCACATGCGCTGGTGGAAATCTCCAACTGTGCCTCTTTCACTTGTGACACTCTAGGGGAAATGTAAGAAGAAAGGGACTTCCCAGGAGGGAGTCAGGAGTTTCCATGGCAAGGTTTTAGGAAAAGAAAATGTGTTAAAGTGATTCTTCTCTGCAGTCCAAAGTGAGACCCACAAAAGAAACAGCCTGAAATGCTAGGCTGAGATGTACAGGATTCCTTTCACAGGTGGGGAAACTGAGGCTAGGGGAGATGAGGTACTAAAAGTGGCAAAGTTACTATGTGTGTTACAGTGTGACTCTGCCTAGGCGCTGGGTGTCAGTCTGTCTGAGGCCCTGTACCAAGAAGCAGAGCCCAGGCCACTCTCAGGGACCTGAACTGAACCCATCTATGCTGTGCTGCTCTGTAACATTCAGGAATCACTTAACCTCACTGAGATTTCTGGTTAAACAGGACTATCAATACCTATTCAGCAGGTTTCATACCAGGAATGATAAAGATGATAGGGACAGATGCATAAAAGCAGTAGAACATACAGGATAGTTAAAACTCTGCACCTCACAGGCTAGGGGCTATAAGAGACATGGAAGAGGCATGATGATGTCCCAGGCCAGAGAAAAGGTGAATGGGGGATAGAGCGGCCTGGATTGACTCATTAAGCTTTTGCTTTCTGCCCTGTGCCAATGGAGCCTCCTTGCCAACTGGAAAAGATAATGGCAGCTCCAACAGTAACCAGGCTCAGTGTGAGGAGCCCAAAGGTCACATGCATCCTGGGAAAAAAAGGCAAAATTCATCTGGCCTCCCAGGCCCTCGCCTGCTAATCCCCAGCCTTATTATTCAGGGAAAAACCTCAGCCCCTCATGGATGAGAACTGCTGGGAACTCACACTCATCAACACCAAGCACTACGGAGTTTTCGCATGTCACCTGGAGTCCCACTGTACAGACCTGAAACCAAGCTCAGAAATGGGAGTTAACTTGCCTCAGGCCTCAGAGCCACCCAGAATCAAGACAAGGATTCCAATGCAGGTCCTGAACCCAAAATCCAATGATACAGTGGGCAGTGTTGAGAGTACTCAGGGGCATGGGAAAATGAAACAGAGTGATGTCTTAATCGGCAAACATGGAAACTGTAGCAGGATGATCTGTTTACTGAGAACTCAATACACAGACAAAATGTTCCCTTGCCAGATGTGGTTTAGTGAACAATCCATTACTCTGAGGCTTGGAGACTACACTGATGTTCCACCTGTACCTCTGTGTGACCAAAAGTCACTTAACCTCCCAAGCACCAGCCTTCATATGAACCAAGTGAATAAACAGCCTCTCCTATAGAATAGTGTACATCTAATTAAATTTATGTAAGACATCTGGCACAATTTGCCCATAGTAGGTATAACACATATTAATTTTCCTTCCTTGTTAAAAAAAAAGAGCCAGTTCTTCACAAGAGACTATTCCACACAAAGCCACTTATGTCAGGCACCAGTTTCGCTCCACAAGGAGACTTACCTCTGTTTCCAAGTACTCCAGGGCTGTTCACCTGAGAAACTACTCACCCCTCAAGATAGGAGTATTTGGCTCAGTGGTAGAGTGCCTGGCTCCCATACATGAGTCCCTGGGTCCAGTCCCCAAACCCACAAAATGAAAGGGTCTCAGCATCAGCTCCACTCCTCAATGCCTCCCTGACTCCCCACAGCAACTTGCTCTTTTATAGAATGACTCTAAGTGTTTGGGCTGGGAACAAAAGAAGAATGATTAGTTTTGTCCAGCCAGAGAGAGGAAAGGAATCATTATTTTTAAAAGAAATTATATATAGAGAGATATTTTATTATACATACAAATTTATTATATATAATAAAATATAATATAATTAGTAAATAATTATATATATAAATATATATATATATTAGCAAACTTTTATTTCGTATCCTTTAAAAACATTTCTCCTTTGCATGGAAGTTAAATGGAATAACATAGCTATAGTCAGTCCCAGTCTCAGCCCCATGCACATATTTGAACCATCTGCTCCTAATGGCGTAGTACAATTCACATTCACTTTATACACATTTTATGTTGTCAACCCTGTGTCCTACATTTTCTGAGTCAAAACAGAAAACAAAACAGTCTGGTCTCCTAGTGCCAGGGAAACTAAAGAATGACCAAGAACTATATTCTTGGCCTAGAGCAATGGATGAAATAAATGCCAAATTTCATAATCGTTCACCCATAATCGTTTGCCCTGATTTTCACAGAGGAAAGAAAAAAAAAACTTGGGGAATTGTGTCAGGTAAAATAAAATGTATGAAGTGTTTTTTGGTTTAGAGTTTTACTGAAAATGCTTTAAATATGGAGATGTTTAAAAGACACTAGAAGCCAGAAGGTGTACATCTATAGTCCCAGAAACCCAGAAGGTTCAGACAGGAAGATTGCTTGAGCCCAGAAATTCAAGTTCAACTTGGACAACATGAAAAACCCAGTCTTGGGCTGGGGAGATAGCTCAGTAGAATAAGTGCTTGCCTGGTAAGCACAGGGTCCTAAGTTCAATCCCAGGTACTGCAAAAAGAAAAAAGAAAAGAAAAACCCTGTCTCAAAAAAAAAAAATTCAGGGGCTGGAGAGATGGCTCAGTGGTATAAGCGCTTCCCTGGCAAGCGCAAGGACCTGAGTTCAATCCCTGGTTCCACCAAAAAATAAAAAAATAAAACAAGTTTTGGGCCAGGGAGATGGCTCAGTAGAATAAGCGCTTGCCTGGCAAGCGCAAGGGCCTGAGTTCATTCCCTGGTTCCGAAAAAATAAAATAAAATAAAATAAAAAATTCAATTTAATAAAAATAGAACTGGTTTTTTTAAAAGCATGGATCATTTACAATTTCTTGAATTTATTATGAATGAGACATTTATGAATCGCTGCCAAAAAAATCCTGGTGTTTAGGGCTTTTTCCTAATGCATTAAGTGTTCTTTCCTGGAAAGAAGTTTTCCAAATTAAAATTAATAAAAGTATTCTTTAGCCTAATTGACAGATCAAGCTCCAGTGAATATTAAGCGAGAATACACGAAGATCAGCTTTTGACACAACATGGGCTTTTTCAGAAGTTTCCAGAACACACTTTGTAGCATTATAATTATTCATTATTATGACCAATCTACATGTAAGAATAAATGTTTTTCTGTTTTTTAATATACATTAATGCGGTTAACCCATTACATTTTCTGTTTTGTAATATCATGTTTAATTTCTCATTACTTTTTTACAGGCATGACTACATATATAATGTTTAATAAAAGAAAATGTTCTTTGTCTGCTTTTTTTTTTTTTTTTCAGAACCGGGGATTGAACTCAGGCCCTTGCGCTTGCCAGGGAAGCGCTTATTCCACGGCCCCTGTCTGCATTTCTTTTCTGGACATTTGTTGTCACTATTCATTTCTAAGCTACTACTGAAAATAATGTGAGAGAAATGAAAGAGCCTCAAAAAGTAAATACTTCAGATGTCAAATATGCCAAGGATGCACTAGTGCCAGGTACTGTGCAAGCCCTTTTCATTTACTGGGCTCTCTAAATGAGTGCCAGGCTATTCAGAGCACTTCCTAAGTTTTAAGTGATAAAATCTTCACCCTGGGGAACAGAGTGAATTTGAACTTGATCAAAGTCTCACAGTAGGGTGCTCAGTGGGAATTCAGTCCCAAGTGAGTCTCAGCCACTCTGTGAAAGTCCTACCAGGGACAGGAGGATCTGCCAAACCTCACAGATTAGAAGAGGAAAAGCCAGAGCTGGGAACGTGGGGCCGTGCCTGTCCAGACCGCACCTGGGTTTGGTGAAGAGAAGTCTCAGCTTCGTGCCTTGCTTTCCTAGGGCAACTCGACCTCCCGACCTGCCTCACAAGAGACAACGCAAAGTATAGATACCTGACCCTTCTCAGACACCTGATGCCCAGTAGCCTACGGAGGGCCGGTGCCCAGGTCCTCAAGGATCTTCCCTGCAAATAAGTCAAGCTCCCAAACCAATCACCTGGAAAACACGTCCCCGCCCTCGCCCCACACTTACAGTGGGCGTGGGCATCTCTGCTCGCGATGTGGACCCTCGCAGTCAGAATCGACTTCGCTCTGTCAGTGGTGCAAATGCCTGAGGCAGAGGGAGCGGAAGTTCATTATGCCAGTGACAGAACAGCGTCCCCTGGACCCAGGGGCCCCTAGCTTCCATCCAGGAGGCCGTACAGGGTCCATCTCGTCTCGACCGCTCCCAGAACAACCCCTGCCTCCCTCCGAGGTTCTCGCCAGCCCCCTCCCCGCCCTTCCTTTGGTCTTGAATAGACCGATCCCCTTGCCCGGGAGCAGCGATGGCGCACCAGAAATACCAGCTGTGCGTTTAGGGATGGCTTGCCCTGTAGGCAGCAGCCAGAGAAGCAACCCCACAGGCAGGGTTCCGCGGCTCCGCCCCGCACGGCTCCGCCCCGCACGGCTCCGCCCCGCACGGCTCCGCCCCGCACGGCTCCGCCCGCACGGCTCCGCCCCCGGTCTGACCACGCCCATGCTCTTGACCACGCCCCTCCCGGAGGATAGCGCAGAGAGACAGAGCAATAGGCTCGCCTGACCTCTTTTTACTGGTAGAGCTCGAATTTTGGCTCCCACGCAGCCCTTGGAGACCCAGAGAGGCATCCCTGGGCACCTGACCTTTGCCAGAAAAAACCGCTCCGCCCGCCTAACGCTCTCGGGAGTCAGGCCGGGCGCCAGAGGAATGGAGCCTGGTTTAATGGCCGTAGAGCCCTAGTCAGGGCTCATCCTCCGACACTGCTGATGCCCTATGCCCCCACCTCTGCACGGCTGGATGCCTCCAGCTCCCCTGTCTACCTCTCCTATGCTCTCCTGGTCTGAGGCGCCCCTGCCTCTACCCATCAGTACCCAGTATTTAAGAACACTTGCTGGGTGTTGTGGCAAACGCCTGGAATATTTGGGAGGCTGAATTAGCAGGATCAGAAGTATTTTAGCCAACCTGGGTTACATAGTGAGTTCAAGGTTCAACTACATAGTGAGATCCTGTCTCAAATAAAATACAACTAATTGTAAAAGGCAAGGAAGGGTCTAAGTATAAAGTACTATAAACGGTTGAGTTCTGAAGCTGTGGGACATACCCAGTGCCTTCAAAAACTCGGACACACAGAAAGCATTCCATAAATGAATGGGTCAAATAACCAAATACCTATGGTATGATTCCCTCTGAGCCTCAGTTTGCTCATCTGTAAAATAGGGTGAGGTAAGCATACATTATTCCCCAAGGAAAGAACAACACATGTGATGATGCCTATAAAGTGACCAGTCGTGTGTCTGGCATGTGGTAAATCCTTCATCAGGACATATTACTAACATTGAAAAAAATGTGCTTCTCAACATCAGGTGGTACTCACCTGCTGCTGGAGAGTCAGGGGCATTGTTTTAAAATGCCAGGATTTCATGTGCATTATCACTCAGCCAACCCATTGCTAAGCACATTGAACTAGGGACTATGAGGTCACCCAAACCAAGGAGTGAGAGGTTCCATTTTGAGGACACCAGAGTGACTTTGTTACCTCGTTTTTGTCCTTTTTTTTTTTTTTTTTTTTTTTTTTTTGTGGAGCTGGGGATTGAACTCAGGCCCTTGAGCTCGCCAGGGAAGCGCTTATTCCACTGAACCATCTCCCCAGCCCCTGTTTTTGCCCATTTTTACTTTCAGATGAAAGAAAAACAAAAAGCATGCTGGGGTAGGGGTGTAATTTTACTGCAAGTATATCTTGTACTGAGTTTATTTTTTTACTTCTTGTGCATGTTATGGTTTATATCTGGATAGCCTCCCCAAACCTCATGCATTCATAGCCGGGGCCTTTGGGAGAGGAATAGATCATGGGGGCAAAAACCTACCAGTGAACTCACTGGTGGGTTTTTAGCTAAATGTCATGTTGGGAAATGAAGCCTGGTCAGAGGAGATGGGTCACCGGGGATGTGGTGGGTCTGGTGGTCAACACTCAGCTGAACTGAACCAGCGTGGTACTGAGTATGGGAGGCTCATCTGAAGGCTGTTGCTGGCAGCATAGGAGGCAGAAGTAAAGAGGCTGTACGAAGCTGTTCAGGAGCTGTTGGTTCTCTTGGAGGAGCTTGTCGTGCTGGCTTTCCTGATGAACATGGCTGTTCTCATCATCAAAGGAGCTTGGGACCTTACTGTCACTCTGTCACTGAGAATGGCTTCATTTCACTTTTTTTTTTTTTTTTTTTTTTTTTTTTTTTTTTTTTTTTTTTTTTAGTATTGCTTCCTGGCTCTGGAGAGGAAGGAAGACAGTGCACTGCTCCTGGAGAAGCTTTTTGCATTGGCTTTCCTGATGGGAACTCAGCTGTTCTCATTGTTGGAGGGGCTCAGGACCTCACTGTCGCTGAGGATAGCTGTGGTATTTTTCAGGAGCTCTGGTTCCCATTTTGAGCACCACTTCCTGGCTGCACTTCAGATCCCTTAGCCTGCTAGTAGAGATCCTTCCTCACACTGGCATAAACTTTCTAGCTTCCACCACTGACCTTTGGGTCTTCCCAGTGCAGATCTGTGAAAGAGGCCTGCATGAGACATTGTCATGGGCTTTTGGCCTCCAGTTAAGACTCTTTGGAGGCACTGTTACAGGCTCAGGGTCTTCAGCTGGACTCATGCAGGACATTATTATCATGGGATCCAGGCCCTCAGCTGGAGTCTTTGATCTGTAGTATGTGGACAGATTTTCTGCATCCTTTTTGTGCATTATTCTTTGGGTGACTACTATAAAATCTATAAGCTATGTGTATTGTTCCCTTGCAAAACTCGAAACTACAACAGGGGACTAGGCCCACAAGGATTTCTCTATTGGGAGCAGCTGAGCTAATAATCTTCACACATTGAAGCAGAAAGCAGGTAGTGCACCAGGAATGCCCTGAGGGCATGGAACAACAAAGGCAAACAGACATTACAGCCCTGAGAACGGTGGGGTGTGTAAGAGGGTAAGAGACAAGCTGGTTAAGTAAAAGGGTATCACATGACAAATGTATAAATAGATGCTTTGGGGGAGCAGTTCCTTCCCTCCCATCTCGAGAGACAGGGCTTCTTCTGACCTCAGCTTTCTGTCTCTTTATTTCTCCGTCCTCTTGCTGTCCTTCCCCCTGGGTACTTTGAGAGCTGTGCTAGATGCGGCATTTCTCTCTCCTTCCACCCTTGATTTCATTGATTGATCAATACAGTTTCCCTATGCAGTTCAGACTTGAAGTGATCCTCCTGCCTCAGTCTCCCCAACGCTGGGAGATGATTACAAGCCTGCGCCCAGTTTTGGGATTGGCACAGCATGTGATACTAAGGATCAAACTCAGGACCTTGTGCTTACCAGGCAGGCGCTTAGACCACTGAGCTATCTCCCTGGGCCCACGCTTGATTTCTACTTCTTGCCTGTCATGCCATGAGCTGTTTCTCCTCTGCTATGCCCTTCTGCCATACTGTCCTGCCTTGGAGCCAGCCAACTCTAGTCTAAGGATCAAACTCTTAAACTACAAACTGTAAGCCAAAATAAACCTCTCCTCCTTGGAGCTGTGGGTGTTTTGTGTCTCAGGCAACAAGACAGCTTTTGAAAGCAGAAGTTTGCCAAAAGACTCTCTGGTCTTAGAAATTCCTACTTAATGTTCTCATCACCAGCAACTCTCCAATCCCTCCTCTAAGCCTGACCTATCACATACACCAAAGACTAGGTATGGATCAGGAAAAGTTTGGGAAACTGGAAAGCCCAACAACATGGTACGGGCATCTGCTCAGCATCTGGTGATTGCCTTGTGCTACATCCTAACATGGCCAAGGGCATCACATGGCAAGAGGCACTAGCAAGCCCACTTTCATAAGAGCCAGCCCCTGGTAATCCACAAGTCCCTGAGTGGGTGAACCCACTCACATGAGGAGTTCTGACACAATCTCCCAAGCTCTCACTTTTCAAATTAACATCTGATTTTGGGGATTCAATTTCCAACGCATGAAATTTGGAGGATATATTTAAAGTATACTCCACCCACACAAAAGAGCAGACAGACAGGATCCAGCTAGCACCTAACTCCAAAGCTTCCAAGTTTTTCTGCACCCCACAGCTATGCAGCCTCATTCAACCTGCTTTCAAGTTTTTATTATGTCTCAGCTGTGCCTTCTGAGGAAGAGGGACACTCAGGAGAATCCATTGTTCTACTAACTCCCTGAGGAGTGACTGGGAAACGTGAACAGCAGCCCAACGCTAGATTGCTGTACAAGGTTGAGACCCCACATTGAACCTGAGTAGGTGGGGTGAGACAGAAGGGGGTGAGAGGCAAGTTTAGGGGAGGTTATTTGTAATGCCTCTCTGCACACAGAGAACACAAAGCCTAGATTTTGTGATGAACTCAGGCCCTGCTGCTTAATACTCAGAATGGGAGCTATGGGAAAAACATGTCCACCAGCCAACTAAATACAGGGTTCCCACAAGTGTCTAGGCTCTCTACAGAGCTTGGTGGTATGCGAGTTTGAAGTTTACTCAAACCAGAAAAATTACTTTCATGAAAAAGTTTAAGTATAACTTCCTCTACCTCTGAAACTCTTCAAGTCCTAAAGAGAAAAGGTAACAAATCCCAGAGGAAAGGCCAAAAGAGCTTTCACTGTATAAATATGCAGCTTAACCATCTTCACTCTTCCTTAAGAAAGCATTGTGGAATCTTTAATCTGGAAACTGTTCCAGGCTCTTGCAGTTCCACATATATTAAGTGGTCCCTTGAGGAACTGGTTACAAGCATTTGTTCTGGTCTGGTCAGGAGTCTTCCATTTGGTGACTGTGGGTCTGGCAAATCTGCCAGTAACTGGCTAGAGATGCCTGTGACCTCGGTGTGGTGCTGGCTATGGTGCCCCAGCTCCCAGGCCACAGTCCTGCCTGCAAAGAGATGACTTTGGAACCTTCTCTCGAGGAGAGATACACTTTTTTTTTAAACAGGCAATAGGTCAAAAGGCAAAAACAAAAGAACAAAAAAGCACTGTTTTCCTAGGGGACATTTAAGTGTGATACTTTAAGTCCTGAACATTTGTGCCTGTCCTCCTGAAGACATAAAGATGCATAGGAAGCCATCTGCAGCAGCATATAATTCAGGAATGGTACACTAATAAGAGCCCATTTGGCAGCTGCGTCCCTCTAGTGCTTGAGATCAGTCTTGTCCCTAGTCATGGTTACAAAAACTTTTTCCAAGGCCAAGCATAATGGTGCACACCTGTAATCCCAGCACTCAGGAGGCTGAAGACGCCTTAGGCCCTTTGAGAGCAGACATGCAAACTCTACTTTGGTCTCTTCAGTCTAGTAACATAAAAAATGTACCTAACAAATACAGAAGTACCATAAAAAATAAAAAATAAATTAAATGGACTTGTGATGGCCAGGTGTGGTGACACATGCCTATAATCCTCAAGAGACTGAGGCAGG